ACAAATTCCACTGTCCAATGTGATTGGCACCAGAGACAGACACTTTATGTATAGCTAATTGATGGGGTTATTTCACATTCCTGGGCTACCATATGGTCTCAAAAGGCAACACAGACGCAGCAAACCAATCTGGCAAACTGAATTGGGCAAGCCCTATTTTGACCCTATACCTTTTCAAAACACCATAAAACCTGTATATGGGGGGGTATTGTTATACTCGGGAGACTTCGCTGAACGCAAATATGAGTGTTTACAACAGTAAACCTTATCACGACGATGAAATCACCAGTAAAAGTGCAATTTTTGTGTAAAAAAACTTTGGCAAGCGTTTGTGGCTACTACAAAAGACTGGACAAATGTAAATGAGTAAGAGGAAAATTACAGCCAAACACAATCACCGCAGAAATGTAAAAAGAGCTCTGGTCCTTAACGGTATGAAATTTAAAAAACGGTCTGGTCTCTAAGGGGTTAAACCTTTGTACTCTATTTAAAGCTTTGTTTCTAAACTTAATAGGAGAATGATTAGGTGCATATACGCTAGCCAGAGATATATTGTAGGGATGTGCATTGGCAAAAAATTTTAGATTCCTGTCATCCTTCCCTTAATTTTCCCTCCCTCTCCTGTTTTGCCACTTTTCAGAAACCCAAAGCATTTCCACATTTCCGAAATGTGGCACTTTGGCAATTCGGTTCGGCACTTCCGAAATTCGGCAATTCGACACTTTGCCGAATGTCCGAATTGCCAAAATTCATCCGAATTTACATTCGGACAGAAACGAATTGCACATGTCTAATATCATGCTGTCTTTATGATGCCATAGACCAAGCTTATAAATGCCGAGCACTGCTCAGGTATTCACATAGGGATGATCAACAGGGCTAATCAAATTCATGGATCTGGAGCCCCAGTCTAACAGCTGGTTTCTCATGGTTAATCCTGCTTTGATTTGGGAGATAAACAGTTTTGGTCTAAAATATGACATTGTCTATCTTTCTGGTCTGCACACCCTCTGGGTGTCATACGAAGGCATTATTTTGGATGTTTTAAAAATATATTTACCTTAAGACTGTCACAGTCTCTTCCTAAGTGTAAGTATGTCTCCTTGGGGTTTTTCACTATGCATAACATTATCGTGCATTGAAAACCCAAATTACAGTTAGGTATAAAGTGCTAATTTAGATATATTAGCATAAATATTGCTCTTCAAATTTTTAATTACTTCAATCTGTTATTGCACTGTAGTATTTTGTTAATTAAACCGAAAATTTATACTGCACTTTTCACTTTTCATAGATGCATTTTGCTTAAAATCCTCTGTATTCCAGCTCTAGTACTACATACCTCCAAACATTTCAAATAGACAAATAGGCACACTTAACTTAAAGGGTGTGGATGGGGTGGTAGCCACAAGTGCAGGTATTCTAAGAAGTTTTCGATGAATCACTAATAACAATTTAAGCAACTAAAATGTTATTTAGAAAAACAATGCATTTACACAGATTGATTTCTAAACACATTTATTGTAGTTTAAAGACACATGGTATTGCTGTGGAACATTCAGACACACCAACAATATGGAGCTCCTAGAAAAGACTGTGTGTCAGTATGTTTGTCTGTGTGTAAGTGTGTGTGTCTGTGTGTCAGTATGTCTGTGTGTGTGTGTTAGTATGTGTGTACTTGTGTGTCAGTGTTTGTGTGTCAGTATGTCTGTATGTGTGTATCTGTGTGTTTTTTGTGTTGGTGTGTGTGTCTGTGTATTTGTGTTAATGTGTGAATCATGTCTGTATATTCTGTGTCACTGTGAATCTGAGTGTCTGTGTATTTGCGTGTTTGTCAGTGTGAGTATATGTGTGTATCTGTGTATCTGTGTGTAACTATGGGTCATTGTGTGTGTTCACATGTGTCTGCCTGTGCATCAGTGTGTGTGTGTGTGTGTGTGTGTGTATCTATGTTTCCGTGTGTGTAACTGTGTGTTAATGTCTGTATCTTGTGCCTGTGTATTTGCATGTGTGTATTCACACATACTCCATACAAAAACATGCTTACATACAAACACATTGTTTATATATATGTATACAATATGCACACACTGCATCTACTACACACTCTCCATCCTCTACACACACACACTGCATCCAATACACATGCACTAACATATACCATGTCCACTTTACACACACAATGCATCCACTTTACATACACTGCATCCAATACACAAACATACACACTACATCATCCATTATACACACACACACTACATCCACTACACGCACTGCGTCCACTACACATACACTAACACACACCGTATCCACTTTACACACACAATGCACCCACTTTACATACACTGCATCCAGTACACAGACATACACACTGCATCCACAACACACACACTGTAACTAATTTACACACACTGCAGAAAACTTCTTTCATTGTGTCTTTAAGACTTTTACAATTTGCATTATTGAACAGTGCAATATCAATTTTAAGTGCACAATACATTTTAAAGTGTCAAAGTGCAAATTATAGCAGCCAAAATAATGTGCAATACCTATCTCAAAGTGCATATGGTGAAATAAGACCTTTACAATAATAATTGGTTGTTCACAAAAAGAGATGAAAAGATCGAAAGAAAATAAAACAAGAAAAATCACATAGTGTAATTCAATATATAATTTGTTTTTGAGAATCTGTATGTGAAATGGCACTCACAAGTGGGGAGCAGATAAGTCTGCTCTAACTTTTCAGCGTGTTGAAATCCCTTAACAGGATCAATATGACAGGAAAGTATGGCAGCAATACATGCAGTAAAGTATTCTTTATTCACAAAATTTTTAAAACATTCACACTACACCTCCCTCCATCCATATATTTCATATGCTGTATGTCTCCAGTCCTCTCCATTTGCCGGCGGCTGCAAAACACCAGGCTGTCCGACACTTCTCCAACCTGCTGGAGATTAATCCATTCACCGGAACACTGCTGCATATCTTCTGAAGCCGTGATAAAATCTCAACATATTGGAAGACAGTCCAGAGGCTCATTGCTGAAATCACAGGGCATAAACTTCCCTGGCTCCTCAAGATTTCGTACTAGGCATGCAGCTCAATGATCTAAATAAATGGGATAAACACCTGACCTTACATATTCGAGTTGCAACATAGACACATTTAGCCAAATATTGGAAGACTTTAGAGACTCTTCTGAAAATAACAATCTCTCCACAAACCACTGACGACTATGAAAAGATATCCCAGAGGATTTTAGGCTCCTCACACAAATTTCAGAAAGTGTGGAAAACTTGGGACCAATACCAGGCTCATCTTCAGTTTCCTGGGTCACTCCCTCCAGTTAGTACCCCTATATCCCTCCTTTTATCTCTCCCTCCTACCCTTCCACAGCACACGAAATCTTGTTTAGGCCTAAACTTATGTTCCCTTATCAACTGTATGGTCGATTTTGAATATATTGTATATCTATCTATCTATCTAGAATTGTTTCATCACTGCAGTGACTATAAATAATATTGCTTGCTAAATTCTTGAACAATATAATATATAGAAGAAAAGAAAGAAAAGGTGATGTATCTATATGATAAAATTTGAATTTAGATGTGTTAGCCATTACATGTATTTATTATTTTATTTATTTACCGCCATCACATTCCGTAGCGCTGTACATTGGGTGGACTAACAGACGTAATTTTAACAAGACAATTGGACGTACAGGAACAGAGAGGTGGAGGGCCCTGCTCAATGAGCTTATCATCTTTTAATTGTTTCTAAATGGGGAACAAAATATAAAGAATGTTATGCATAGTATGTGAAATATGAATCACTCATAACATAACAAAGTGATGGGTGTATTTGAAAGAGATTAGTAGTTCCAAGAAATCAAATGGATAGAAACAAACATAGAATGTAAAAGAGAAAGCTAAAATACATGTACACTAAAGTCCCTGACTTGTAGGCGGGGATATATAATCACATAATATGAAAGATATATTTATAAAAGACTAAAGAAAGAAGGTGTCTTGTTGCACCAAGTATCTGGATTTGCTGATTGTTGGCAATGTATAAGGGGCTCGCTGGTAGGTATTCTACAATTCCCCCAAAATTTCTATATCAAAGAATTTGTTGCTAAAAGCAAACTTGGAAGTAACATTGTTTTTATTTAAAATAGGTTTTTGGAGAAGCCATTCGTTTTATATATAAAAAAAGTAATAAAGAAAATAGGAAATGTGGCTACAATTACATATCAGTAAAATCTATCCGTGTAAATAACAAAATGTACAGATATTTACCCTGCAAGCTGTTCACTCGGATATGGGCAATATATAGTTATAACAATACTGCAGCATACACCTTTTTTCCCAAGAGGAAAAAAAAATTCAGTAGTAGAACTGTGTGGAATTTTCTGCCCAGAGAGGTCATCTTATCAGATTCTAAAGATATTTATAAAAAAAGGCATAGATTTATTTTGGGAAAAAACAGAATATTCAAAAACAAATTATGTATGTGAACAGGTTGTTGATCGAGCAGAAATCTGATTGCCATTATTGAATCAGTGAGCAAAATTGGGGCATAACTGGCCATCACTTTTTTTTTTGGTTCCACTGCATTTTAAATGTTGAACTTGATGGACTTAATCTTTTTTTTTTTTTTTATTCTTTATTTTCCTTGTGCGTAGGTTAAACAAGTAATTTTGCATTGCCACAACAGGTGTAACAAACATATCAATTGACAGAGTAATAAACAATAGTAATCAGAAGCCTAGACGTCACAGCAGAGAATATGATGTGCTAAAACATATAGACTTGAATACTGCTGATGCTGAGAACCAATAGGTCGCATTAGAAGTGAAGTGTGCCCCTTTAACCAGGACAAGGTTGGCACTGCTATAGAAGAGTGACAGCTGCAAAGGCAAAAATAAATCTAGAGCAAAGATAAATCATATGGTGTAAGCAATGGACAGCTTGTGATCCTCTGCTGGGTGTAAGATAGTCTCAGATCAGGAACAGGACTGTTGCTTTACGTGGGTGTTCATATTCAGCCAGTGCCCTCGTTTGATGGACTCAGAAGAGTTGTGCTAAGATGATGCAAGGGTATGTTGGAAGGAGGATGAAGGGGACTATACCTCCTGCCCCAGGTTGGTAGAAAGGCCATAAAGAAAAGAAATGGAAAGGTGGGTGGACAGTAATAAAAACCAAGTGCAGGCAAGCCTCTGTATAAAGGACTCTCCAACTCCAATTGCCAAAAACAAAACACTAGAAAAAACAGGGCGCCACAGTCACTATATTGGTGTATTAAAATAAGGGTTTGAAAAGGAATATTGATGGTGAAACAAAAAAAGTTTATTAATGAAGAAATGTATAAAAACAATCACAGCACAACATATGTGCAATACATCCAGAATATAAAAGCCACAATAGGCTAGGAACCCTTAGGTACAGCAGTTTAACAGAACATGATACTGAGCTGGGCAGTAAAGTGCGAGTGCTAAAGTGCAAGATGCCTATAAGGAAAGTGATTGGCTTAGTGCACTTTCCGGTCTGGGGGGGAGAGGGGGAGGGAGGGAACAGGGCTGTACAATATCCTGCTAAGCCTGGAGCTCAAAGTAAAACTTAGTCACCTCTACCCCGAGGTTCCACCATATCTGTAATATGCCCATTTCCCTATGCAAAGACTGGCAGCCATGTAAGCCAAAAATTAAAAAAAAAGCTGCTTTATAACAATAACATACTGCACTGTAAACTATTTAATTCAATCCTATCTAGCCACTCTACTTAAAGGACCACTATAAGCACCCAGACCACTTTAGCCCTAGTTTTAACTCTGCAGCTGAAAAGCGGACGTGCAGCAATTAAGATTAGATTGGAAAGGTTTGGCATATTCACCTTATTTAAAGATACTGGAATGAGATTAAGTCTTGTCGAATGGACCAATGAATTTACCTACCTGGGATATTTAAGAGCAGGAGGAAGCAGCTGTGAAGATATACCGATTGAGAAAGCCCATTGATCTGGGAGAAATGCGTCTCGGCAAGAGGAACCTTTACTGGACACTTTTTAATGTTATTTACATTTGTTTTATTTAATTTTTGTGTGTTTAAATAAATGTATTTAGTCCCACTCCGGCTTCCTCCACTTCTGCTTCCAAAGAAGGGTAGGTGCTCTATTTATAGGCACCCAGGCCATATTACCAAGAGCCAGATCATATTGGCTCTGGAAAAGGAGAGCAATTATTTGTAGGGATGTGCATGGGCAAAAAATTTGGTTCGGCATTCTGAAATTCGGCACTTCCAAAATTCGGGTCCTCGGCAATTCGGGACTTCGGCACTTTGGCAATTCGGCACTTTGGTTCGGTTCGGCACTTCCAAAATTTGGGACTTCGGCACTTTGGGACTTTGGCACTTCTGGACTGAGGCACTTCGGGACTTCAGGAATTAGGGTAAGTGTAAGGTTAGGGTTGGGGTTAGGGTTAGGAGTAGGGTTAAGGTAGGGTTAGGACTGGGGTAAGGGTAGGGTTAGGAGTAGGGGTAGGGTTGGAAGGGGGGGAGGATTGCCTGAGTTTTGTCGTGCCTAGGGCAGCACAAAACCAGAATACACCACAGCCCAGGGTATTTAAAATGGGGTATTTCCAGTCTTTTGTAGTAGCCACTTAGTCACAAATGCTGTCCAAAGTTAGCGCTTTTATTAGTTTTTTTTGCATTTTTTTAAAACAAAAACTGAACTTTTACTGGTGATATCATCATTGTGATAAGTTTTACTTTTTAAAACACATATATATGTGTTCAGCGAAGTCTCCCGAGTATAACAATACCGCCCATGTACAGGATTTATGGTGTTTTGGAAAGTTACAGTATCAATATAGGGCTTGCCCAATTCAATTTTCCAGATTGGTTTGCTGGGTCTATGTTGCCTTTTGAGACCATATGGTAGCCCAGAAATGTGAATTAACCTCATTATGGCATACCATTTTCAAATTTAGACAACCCAGGGTATTCAAAATGGGGTATTTCCAGTATTTTGTAGCGTTTTTATTTGTTACGTCCGACAAAAAATGGTCATTTTCAATGGTTGTTAACGACCATTTTTTTGTCAGACATATCTGGTACGGACGGGGTTAATACTTTGTAAAAATACATTTAAATGTTTATCTAAAAATATTAAATCATTTAAAAACTTTTTTTTTTACCTTGTCTATTATGGCAAAAGATTTCATATTTCTGTGTCAGTTCTTCAAAATTCCACACATGGTGAATATTCCACAGTAAAAGTTAGGTAGAGACTGGGTAAGATCTGAGCTGTGCTGGCTATCTATATGCTTGGTCCATGACATCATAAACACAGCGTGACATCACTAAATCAGGAACAGCCATCAGTGGTGTTCCACTATCCACTTACTGCTTCAGTGATGTCACGCTGTGTTTATTGATTTATGTTAGCAAGCGGGGAGAGCGGGATATACTTCTGCTAGTGCAGGACTGCTGCTACACCTGGCAAGGACGCCCAGTTTGTCACTTGGCTACTGTGTGACACAGGGATTGGACATGGTCGAGAAGGAGTGCCAGGGTTTTCCATATTATGAAAATGGGGTTTATTATATTTGAGGTTTAGCGGAAATGCAGTTTCTATTTGATAGAGCATCAGTCTTATTAGGCAATGAACTGGATGATGCACTTGTTCATAGATGGAACACCTAACTGCTTTTAGTGAAGGTAACAACCTCTTACCATATTATAAGGCACTAGTAATGCAGTATTTGTGTGCATTGGCATCAGAGATACAACATGAGTCCCAGACCTGAGATTATGCCGTTGCTCCCCTGACATCAACTGCATCACACTACTTATTTGATGATAGGTTTTACGTTTTTGTGTGATTTTTGTTAAGTTACGTTTGTTCTTGTTTTGTACGTTCTTACCACTGTCATATAATTGAACTTTAGTGTTGTACTCTCTTTGCACTTCTTTCAAGTGTAAAGAGAGTACAACACTAAAGTTCATTACAGATGTTTAAACTGCAATTGGATAAATACTTGCAAAAACATAACATACAGGGATATAATTTCTAATTGGTGGGGTAATAAAGGAGACATCTGACTGCTATTTTGGGGTCAAGAAGGAATTTTTTCCTAGGATTTGGAAGCGCTTCAGACTAGGTTTTTTGCCTTCTTTTGGATCAACAGCAAAAACATATGTGAAAAAGGCTGAACTGGATGGACGCAAGCAGGGCCGGCCTTAGGACTTCAGGCGCCCTGTGCGAAAAATCTTCATGGCGCCCCCCCCCACACCCTGTCATACCCCTTCATTCATGTGTGTAGTGGTGTGTTTCTATAGGGGATTTATTAAATTAATAATTATTTAAAAACAAAAATTAATATTCATTCCATGATGATACTTTGCTAATACTAATTGGCACAAAGTCATACACACAGTTACAGGTATACAGTCAAGCACACAGTTACGGTCAGTCACACACATGTACAGGCAGACAATCACACACAGGTACAGGCAGCCACATGCGACACACACAATGGTAGTCAGCACTGTAGCAGTAGATGGGGATCAGGGGCACTGCAGCAGATGGAGAGCAGGGGCACTATAGCAGTAGATGGGGGGAACAGGTGCACTGTGGCATATGGGAAGCAGGGGCTCTATAGCAGTAGGTGGGGGAGCTGGGGCCCTGGAGAAGATGGGGAGCAAGGGCACTGGGATAAATAGGGAGCAGGGGCACAATAGCCATAGATAGGGGAGCAAGGACACCGGGGCAGGGGCATTATATCACTAGATGGGGGGGGCAAGGTCGCTGGAGTAGATGGGGAGCAGGGTCATTATATCACTAGATGGGGGAGCCGGTGCACTGGGGTAGATGGGGAGCAGGGGCACTGGGGTAGGTGGGGATAAGGGGCATTCTATCACATCAAAATGATCGTTTTATCAGAACCGAAAGTTGACAGTTTGTCCATTTGTGTTTGGATGAAATTTGGTCATTATTTTCGGTTCAAATTTAATTTATGTCAAACTATTAAAATAAAGAATGACACGATTGCAAAAAAACAAATCCAGCTGATAGAAAAATATTCTATCTTCACCTGGTGAAGGCTCTGTGCAGACTGATTATTGCAAGGCCGGGAAAGACTTCTAAAGCCTTCCCACGCCATGCAAGTTGACTCAGAGCAGTCTGATTGGTTGGTTTAAAGGACCACTCTAGGCACTATGTTTATTAATGGGTTAAGCCTTCCCCCTAATCCTCTAGTGGCTGTCTAATTGACAGCCACTAGAGGCGCTTGCGTGCTTCTCATTGTAAATGCTTTCCTATGCGACCGTCTGAATGCGCGCGCAGCTCTTGCCGCGCGTGCGCATTCAGCCGATGGGGCGGAATGGAGGAGGAGAGAAGGAGGAGAGCTCTCCGCCCAGCGCTGGAAAAAGGTAAGTTTAAACCCCTTTCCCCCTTCCAGAGCCGGGCAGGAGGGGGACCCTGAGGGTGGGGGCACCCTCAGGGCACTATAGTGCCAGGAAAACAAGTATGTTTTCCTGGCACTATAGTGGTCCTTTAAGTCAATTAATCAGAGTGCTCTGACATGTAGGTTTTGAGACTTACCTGTCAGTCTTAAGATTTATCTGTCAGAAGACTCTGATAGGTTGACTTACTCTTTATTTGTTTTTTTTTTTATATGTTTTTTCAATACACTACAATGTTGTGTTTAACCCCTTAACGTCATTACGGCGTTCTATGCCATCCCCATTCTAATGAGCTTTAAAGTGGACTTATCTCCACCGCGATCCTCTTCGGGAGGACTGCCTGACAGCCCAGACAGCCCTCCCCCAGCAAATCAGGCCCGCGGGGGCCATGTGATCACTCTCAAAGAGCGATCACATGGCCCCCTATAGCTGGCTGTGGATCTGCCAGCAGGGGACTGTCTGGGCTGTCAGACAGTCCCCCTGCTGGTGGGAAGTATAAAAAAATAATATATAAGCATGTTTTAAATAAATGAAATGTACATAATATATATACATCTTATATATATGTAACGTCATACGTAGTATATTTTAATATTAATATAAGTACATATATTAGTATTAAAATACACTTAGAATGAAGTTACATATATATATAAGATATATATATATATATATATACATATATATATTTTATATTGATATATATACGTATAAGTACAATAATAAATAAAATAAACAAATAAATAAAATATATTTTTTTTAAATGGAAATAAATTATATATACATATGTAATTTCATTCTAAATGTATTTTGTTATTAACGTGCATATATATTTGTAACAAAATACACTTACAATGACATTCTATATCTATCTATCTATCTATCTATCTATCTATAAAATACAAATAACCGCAAATATATATAGATAAATATATATAATTATATTAATGGTTACATAAGTATACACGTAGAATTTAAATACATATATACAGGGAGTGCAGAATTATTAGGCAAATGAGTATTTTGACCACATCATCCTCTTTATGCATGTTGTCTTACTCCAAGCTGTATAGGCTCGAAAGCCTACTACCAATTAAGCATATTAGGTGATGTGCATCTCTGTAATGAGAAGGGGTGTGGTCTAATGACATCAACACCCTATATCAGGTGTGCATAATTATTAGGCAACTTCCTTTCCTTTGGCAAAATGGGTCAAAAGAAGGACTTGACAGGCTCAGAAAAGTCAAAAATAGTGAGATATCTTGCAGAGGGATGCAGCACTCTTAAAATTGCAAAGCTTCTGAAGCGTGATCATCGAACAATCAAGCGTTTCATTCAAAATAGTCAACAGGGTCGCAAGAAGCGTGTGGAAAAACCAAGGCGCAAAATAACTGCCCATGAACTGAGAAAAGTCAAGCGTGCAGCTGCCACGATGCCACTTGCCACCAGTTTGGCCATATTTCAGAGCTGCAACATCACTGGAGTGCCCAAAAGCACAAGGTGTGCAATACTCAGAGACATGGCCAAGGTAAGAAAGGCTGAAAGACGACCACCACTGAACAAGACACACAAGCTGAAACGTCAAGACTGGGCCAAGAAATATCTGAAGACTGATTTTTCTAAGGTTTTATGGACTGATGAAATGAAAGTGAGTCTTGATGGGCCAGATGGATGGGCCCGTGGCTGGATTGGTAAAGGGCAGAGAGCTCCAGTCCGACTCAGACGCCAGCAAGGTGGAGGTGGAGTACTGGTTTGGGCTGGTATCATCAAAGATGAGCTTGTGGGGCCTTTTCGGGTTGAGGATGGAGTCAAGCTCAACTCCCAGTCCTACTGCCAGTTCCTGGAAGACACCTTCTTCAAGCAGTGGTACAGGAAGAAGTCTGCATCCTTCAAGAAAAACATGATTTTCATGCAGGACAATGCTCCATCACACGCGTCCAAGTACTCCACAGTGTGGCTGGCAAGAAAGGGTATAAAAGAAGAAAATCTAATGACATGGCCTCCTTGTTCACCTGATCTGAACCCCATTGAGAACCTGTGGTCCATCATCAAATGTGAGATTTACAAGGAGGGAAAACAGTACACATCTCTGAAAAGTGTCTGGGAGGCTGTGGTTGCTGCTGCACGCAATGTTGATGGTGAACAGATCAAAACACTGACAGAATCCATGGATGGCAGGCTTTTGAGTGTCCTTGCAAAGAAAGGTGGCTATATTGGTCACTGATTTGTTTTGTTTTGTTTTTGAATGTCAGAAATGTATATTTGTGAATGTTGAGATGTTATATTGGTTTCACTGGTAATAATAAATAATTGAAATGGGTATATATTTGTTTTTTGTTAAGTTGCCTAATAATTATGCACAGTAATAGTCACCTGCACACACAGATATCCCCCTAACATAGCTATAACTAAAAACAAACTAAAAACTACTTCCAAAAATATTCAGCTTTGATATTAATGAGTTTTTTGGATTCATTGAGAACATGGTTGTTGTTCAATAATAAAATTAATCCTCAAAAATACAACTTGCCTAATAATTCTGCACTCCCTGTATGTATATATATTAAAATTATACGTGTATATTTAAGTCGTTTTTTAGGATAATTATGTGATTTTATTAATTAAAATTTGATTGACATGCCAGACAACCCAGGCAGAAAGTGCAGAGAATGTAATTCGCAAGCACTATATTTAACCCTGTAACTTTCCAAGACACCGTAAAACCTGTACATGGTGGGTACTGTTTTACTCGGGAGACTTTAGTGAACATAAATATTAGTGTTTCAATATGGTAAATTGTACTACAACATTTTTTACACATGAACGGCATTTTACTGACGATATTATTGTTATAATACATTTACTGTTTTGAAACCCTAATGTTTGTGTTCAGTGAAGTCTCCAAATCATAACAGTACACCCCATGTACACGATTTATGGTGTTTTGGGAAGTTAGAGAGTCAAATATAAAGCTTGCATTTAATTTTTTTCACATTGAAATTTGCCAGTTTGGTAATGTTGCCTTTGAGGCCGTATGGTAGCCCAGGAATGACATACCCCACTTGCAATACCTTGGGTTCCCTACTTTTGCAAATGGTATGCCATCATGGGGGTAATTCTCATTCCTGGGCTACCACACGGCCTCAAAGGTAACATTACTAATCTGGCAAGTTTCAATGTGAATAAAACAGAAAAATGTAATGTGCTCTATTTGACCCTGTAACTTTCCAAAACACCGTAAAACCTGTTAAAGGGGGGTACTGTTGTACTTGTGAGACTTTGCTGAATACAAATATGTGCATTTTATTGCAGTAAAAGCATTACATTTACAGCTGAAATGTCAGGCGGAACTACAAATTTCTCACAGTTATTTTTATTTTATTCATAATAATTTATGTTTCATATATGAATAGTTCATATGAAATTAAAGCCCTGTTTCTCCTGAATAAAATGATATATAAAGTGTGGGTGCACTTAATATGAAAGAGGTGAATTATGGTTGAACAGACATATAGTGCAAAGTCCAGTTTTTGTTTACATTTTGTTTTGATGAGAACGTATACAATTGACTCGGTCCTGAAGGGGTTAAAAAACCCAGAGACAGATTTACAGCTTTGAAGCATAACCTGAAAAAGAGAAACACAGAGGTAGACACAATGTTAGGTAATAACTACAGAAAAGGTCCAACAACGCAGGATTAAGGTGGCCGTACATTTTTAGAAAATCCAAAATAATGCATTCTCATGACAACCACAGGGTGTGTAGACCGGAAAGGAAATGGAGTTAATTAACTAGGAAAATTTACATTCCAGGTTTTTTTCCTTTGACAATTTCAAACAAAAATTAAAAATTCCCATTTTGCTAAATTCCACATTTGGTAAATATTTAACTATAACAGTTTATCCCCAATCACTTGCGTGCTGTGTAAAAGTCAAGTAGAGACTGGATAAGACCTGGGCTGTGCTGAGTATTTATAGGCTTGGTCCATGACATCACAAAGAAAGTGTGACATCATTAAAGTAATATGTCGCTAGAGGAACACCATGTCATTTAGGCACACCGAGTTAACATGTACATTGTTTATTTACACAATAATGCATTGAAGTAATCGGATAACTGAATAGCTAAACAAAAAAGAACACTGAAACCTCTTGGAAGCCACTATCCATCTATATAGAAACATAGAAACATAGAATGTGACAGCAGATAAGAACCATTCGGCCCATCTAGTCTGCCCAATTTTCTAAATACTTTCATTAGTTCCTAGCCTTATCTTATAGCTAGGATAGCCTTATGCCTATCCCACGCATGCTTAAACTCCTTTACTGTGTTAAACTCTACCACTTCAGCTGGAAGGCTATTGCATGCATCCACTACCCTTTCAGTAAAGCAATACTTCCTGAAAGGCCCGGACTGGCCATCGGGCACACCGGGCAAATGCCCGGTGGGCCGCGGTGGCCATGGGCCGAGGCCGGCAGGGGAGGTCCCAGGATCTCCCCTGCCAGTCTATGCAGGGCCGGCGCTATCCGAGCGCCGGCCCCGCTGTTTTCCAGGAAGGGCTGGTGGGGAGATCAGAGATCTCCCTCACCGGCCCACATGCTGTCAAATGCGGCCGCCGGCGGGGAGAGAGGGAGGGAGACAGCCAGCCTGGAGAGAGGAGGACCCGGCGGAGCTCTAACTTGCAGCTCCACCGGGATCCTCTCGCGAGATCCGGAGCATTGCCATGGCAACGACCGGATCTCGCGAGAGTGAACTCTAGCCCGCAGGCTAGAGTTCACTCACCACGAGGACCACCAGGAACACCGCCACCCCGCCTCCCAGCCCCAGGTACCAGCGTGCCGGTCCTCCCTCCCAGGCTAAAGGTAAGAAGGGAGGGGGTGACATAATGCCTGTTATTTTATTTGTTTATTTACCCCCCCCCACACACACACACACAATCCATTCTAACATTTATACAGCACTCTCACACACAGCACTCTCACACCCATCACACACAGCACTATCACACACAGCACTCTCACACACAACACTCTCACACCCATCACACACAGCACTATCACACACAGTACTCTCACACCCATCACACACAGCACTATCACATACAGCACTCTCACACCCATCACACACAGCACTCTCTCTCACAGTACTCTCACACACAGCACTCTCTCTCACAGAACTCTCTCACACACAGCATTTTCACACACAGCACTCACACACAGCACTCTCTCTCACAGCACTCCCTCACACACAGCGCTCTCTCACACACAGCTCTCTCACACACAGCACTCTCTCACACACAGCACTTTCACACACACAGCACTCTCACACACATCACACACAGCACCCTCACACACAGCACCCATCACACACACATACTGCACCCCTCACATACACACAGAACCCCCCCAACACACTGCACCACACACAATACTTCCAAATATATATATATATATACACACACACAGCACCCCTCACACACATACTGCACCCCTAAACACATTACATTCCAGACACACACTAGATCCCTTACCCAACTCTGGATCATCTACACAAATACACACACTAGATCCCTATATACACTCTGAATCCGTTATAAACACACACTTACTAGATCTCCTATATACATACACACACTAGATTCCTTGTAAGCAAACACATACTACACCCCTAAACACACACTACATCACCTATATACACACACACACACTATAGCCTGTATGCACACACTTGCTATATCCCCTATACACACATTCTCTACAGCCCCTAGCCACATATGCATCACATTACACCACATTACACCACAAACACAACATGACTAAAACCAACCTTATTACACAATACCACACCACCATCAGCTCACTCTACACACACGCAATACCACAAGCAGGCTCCAAACACATGCACAATACTCTTTCCTGGCATTTTTGCCTCCTGTATCCATTTATAGAGACACCAGAGACAAGTTGCAAGGAAACACAGTGCAAGCATGTTATTAAATTTGCTTGCACTGTGCAGAACAAATACAGGGCTTTTTTCTCATGCTAGAGCTCTGCGCATGGTCTGCCCTGGAAGAGCATTGAACCAACATGCTCACTTTGAGAGGGGGCGTGTTTGTAATTGGTGATGACAAAACACACCTCCTCTGCCCCGCCCCCTTCTTAGTGGGCCGCTGTGATAAAAAAATGCATGGGCTGAATTTCTCTCCCAGTCCGGCCCTGCTTCCTGATATTATTTTTAAACCTTTGTCCCCCTAATTTAAGACTATGTCCTCTTGTTGTGGTAGTTTTTCTTCTTTTAAAAATAGTCTCCTCCTTTACTGTGTTGATTCCCTTTATGTATTTAAATGTTTCTATCATATCCCCCCGTCTCGTGTTTCCTCCAAGCTATACATGTTAAGATCCTTTAACCTTTCCTGGTAAGTTTTATCCTGCAATCCATGAACCAGTTTAGTAGCCCTTCTCTGAACTCTCTCTAAGGTATCAATATCCTTCTGAAGATACCGTCTCCAGTACTGCGTACAATACTCCAAGTGAGGTATCACCAGTGTTCTGTATAATGGCATGAGCACTTCCCTCTTTCTACTGCTAATACCTCTCCCTATACAACCAAGCATTCTGCTAGCATTTCCTGTTGCTCTATTACATTGTCTGCCTACCTTTAAATCATCAGAAATAATCACCCCTAAATCCCTTTCATCAGATGTTGAGGTTAGGACTCTATCAAATATTCTGTACTCTGCCCTTGGGTTTTTACGTCCAAGATGCATTATCTTGCACTTATCCACATTAAATGTCAGTTGCCACAACTGTGACCATTTTTCTAGTTTACCTAAATCATTTGCCATTTGGCTTATCCCTCCTGGAACATCAAGCCTGTTACATATCTTAGTATCATCAGCAAAAAGACATACCTTACCATCAAGACCTTCTGCAATATCACTAATAAAAATATTAAAGAGAATGGGTCCAAGTACAGATCCCTGAGGTACCCCACTGGTGACAAGTCCAAGCTTCGAATATATTCCATTGACTACAACCCTCTGTTGCCTGTCACTCAGCCACTGCCTTACCTATTCAACAATATTGGAATCCAAACTTAAAGATTGCAGTTTATTGATAAGCCTTCTATGTGCAACAGTGTCAAAAGCCTTACTGAAATCTAGGTAAGCAATGTCTACTGCACCACCCTGATCTATAATTTTAGTTACCCAATCAAAAAAATCAATAAGATTAGTTTGGCATGATCTCCCTGAAGTAAACCCATGTTGTCTCTGATCTTGAAATCCATGTGTTTTTAGATGTTCATCAATCCTATCCTTTAACATGGTTTCCATCACTTTCCCCACTACTGAAGTAAGGCTTACTGGCCTATAGTTGCCCGACTCCTCCCTATTACCTTTCTTGTAAATGGGCACAACATTCGCTAACTTCCAATCTTCTGGGACTACTCCTGTTAACAATGATTGGTTAAATAAATCTGTTAATGGTTTTGCTAGTACACCACTAAGCTCTTTTAATAGCTTTGGGTGTATTCCATCAGGTCCAATTGACTTATTTGTCTTTACTTTTGACAATTGAAATAGAACCTCTTCCTCTGTAAACTCACATGTAATAAATGACTCATTTATCCTTTTTCTTAACTGAAGTCCTTTTCCTTCATTTTCATCTGTAAATACCGAACAAAAATATTAATTGAGGCAATCAGCTAGACCTTTATCCTCTTTTACATACCTTCCTTCTTTTGTTTTTAATCTAACTAATCCATCTTTTACTTTTCTTTTCTCATTTATGTATCTAAAAAAAAATTTGTCCCCCTTTTTTACTGACTGTGCTATTTTCTCTTCTGTGTGTGATTTGGAAGCTCTTATAACTTGCTTAGCCTCTTTCTGCCTAATCTTATAGATCATTCTGTCTTCCTCACTCTGGGTTTCTTATAATAACTAAATGCTAACTTTTAGTTTTTTACTATTTTGGCCACATCTGCGGAGTACCACAGTGGTTTCTTGAATTGTTTGCTTTAAATGACAAGCCTAATGCAATTTTCTGTTGCCTTCAGTAGTGCAACGTTTAAATAATCCCATTTCTCTTGAACTCCATTTGAAATTGCCCCAGTCTGATAATGACTACTTTACACAAATTCTAATTTTAGAAAAGTCTGTTTTTCTAAAGTCTAAAACCTTTGTTTTTGTGTGATGTGACTCAGTCACTGTTCTTATATTAAACCACACTGACTGATGATCACTGGATCCTAAACTTTCACCTACAGTAATATCTGATAGCAAATCTCCATTTGTTAACACTAAATCTAGTATGGCCTCTTTACGAGTTGGCTCCTTAACGACTTGTTTTAGAGACAATCCCAGTAGGGAGTTTAGAATATGTGTACTCCTGGCACAAGCAGCTATTTTGGTTTTCCAATTCACATCAGGAAGATTAAAGTCACCCATGATGATAACTTCCCCCTTCATTGTCATTTTAGCTATTTCCTCAACAAGTAGATTACTCTTCAATTTGTCCTGGGGGCCTATAAATCACACCTACACGAGTTACTGTGTGATTACCAAATTCTAACATAACCCAAACGGACTCTATGTTCGCCTCACTAACTTTTATTAAGCTAGATTTTATGCTATCCTTCACATACAGGGCCACCCCCCCCCCTTTTCTTGCCTTCCCTGTCTTTTCTATATAAAGAGTATGATATTTTGGGATACTGCTAGTATACCTATAATAGAGAACAAAACATAGTGCAAATATTGCTAAATATTGTAAAACTTCCAATGATTGAAATGCACTCACATATTCCAAAAAGATAAGCGTATTATGGGTGCCTCCCCTCGATGGAAATAGGAGGGTTAACTCCTATTGATTTTTCCTCCTCAAGTGATAGCCAATGAGGAGGAAAAATCAATAGGAGTTAACCCCCCTATTTCCATCGAGGGGAGGCACCCATAATACGCTTATCTTTTTGGAATATGTGAGTGCATTTCAATCATTGGAAGTTTTACAATATTTGCACTATGTTTTGTTCTCTATTATAGGTATACTAGCAGTATCCCAAAATATCCTATCAATTACACAGTTCTGTTATACGGTTATCAGCTGGGAGATAACCTTGGGAAGCAGTGTACCTATCAGCTAAGTTTTTCATTTTGTTTTTTGTGTTTTCACACTTTTTTCACGGGTGTCCGTGTTTTTTATCTATATAAAGAGTACCCTGATATTGCTATGTCCCAGTCATTTTTCTCATTATACCATGTCTCAGTAAAAGCGACTAAATCTACGCTATCAGTTGCCATTATTGCCACAAGTTCATGGATCTTATTCCCTAAACTGCGAGCATTTGTAGATATGACTCTAAGCTTATCTTTTTTTAACACACTTGCTACAGGCACCTTGTGTCCTTGTTTTGGGGGACAATTGGATTGATGTTTTATCACCCCTTTGCCCCCTCCCCCTCCTAGTTTAAATGCATCCTAGCAAAACCTCTGAACTGCTCACTGAGAACATTTGTTCCCTTTTGAGAAAGATGCAAACCATCTTTTTTGTACAGTTTATTTCCATTCCAAACAGAGCTACCATGAGAAATAAAGCCAAATCCTTGCTCCCGACACCATTCACCAAGCCACAAGTTAAAGTCCCTAATACGCATCCGCCTGTCGTTCTGAGTGTTATGCACAGACACAACTTCAGAGAATGACAGTGTGGAAGCAACCTGCCGTATATCATTGGCAAAAACACTAAAAACTTTCTTAACCTCTGAAACCTCATTGCAAGCCAAGTCATTTGTCCCTAGATGGACAAGTACATCCAATTCCCCTTCCTGCTTTGCTCGCTTAACAATATTACAGATACGTCTCCTGTCTCTGTGAGCAGTAGCTCCGGGAAGACACCTCACAAGACCACCATTGTCCATCTCCACACCTCTTATGATGGAATCCCCCAATAACAACTGCTTTCTATAAGGCCTCAGTGCCTGAGCCTGTCTCCACAACACCACTAGACTCAGTGCCTAAACCTGTCTCCACAACACCACTAGACTCAGTGCCTTAGCCTGTCTATGATAAAGATAAAAGAAAAAAGAAAGAGAGATATAGAAAGATGGCATCAAGAAAAGCAAATAAAACTACAAATCTCAAGAGGAATAAGGAAGATAAAGACCTGAAACAAAATAAATCCCTATTATCATACTATGTGTCACCAGACATGGATTCAATAACTAATTTGAAGAGAGGATCAATTTCCCCATCACAAGCAAGTAAAAAAAGATCTCAATGATGATATGAAACTCTATCAAGCGATATGATGTTCGAATTTTCACCAATTCCACAAATTAATCAAGAGACAATAACTAAAGAAATTCTAACAAAGATCCAGGAAAATCATAATAAAAAATGAAATTCTAGCCATTTAAGAGTTGAAAGATGAGATAAACATTATTAATCAAAAGATTCAGGAAAACTCAGATAAGGTAGAAACACTAAAATTTGAAATGACTAAAAATCAAGAATCTTATGACAATTTAAATAAAACATTTGTAGATTTAAAAAAAAATTAAATAAAATAAATGCAGGATAAAGAGAATCGGTCAACAAAAAGCAACTTAAAAGGACACTCCAGGCACCCAGACCACTTCTGCCCATTGGAGTGGTCTGGGTGCCAACTCCCACTACCCTTAACCCTGCAACTGTAATTATTTTAGTTTTCATAAACTGCAATATTTATCTTTAAGGATTAAGTCCTCCTCTAGTGGCTGTCTAATAGACAGCCACTAGAGGACACTTCCGTGTTCATAGAACACGAAAAGTGTGTTATAACGACGCTGGACGTCCTCATGCTATGTGAGGACCTCCAGCGTCGCTGAAATTTCCATAGGAAAGCATTGAAAGCATTATTCAATGCTTTCCTATCGGGAAGCCTCCCCAGCCGAGCATGCTCAATAGGTCTCCCCCGCCCGATGACGTCGGCGGGGGGGGAGTGAAGGCAGAGCCTGAACCAGTGCCGAGGGACATCAGCGCTGGATTCAGGTAAGTCACTGAAGAGGTTTTAACCCCTTCAGCAACTAAGGATGGGGGTGGGAGGGAGAGGGGACCTGCAGTGCCAGGAAAACGGTTTGTTTTCCTGGCACTGGAGAGTCCCTTTAAGAATCAGTAGAGTCTCGGAAAATTTTCAAAGAACTGACATTAAGCCAGCTCTTGTTCTGGTCTAGCTGATGACGCCTTTATGATTCTGCTGTAATGGTGGAATTACACCTTCGGCAGCAAAGGGGTTAAACTCTGTATAACTGAATAAACAAATGTACAAATAGGAGTAATCCTTTAAACATTCAGGATGCCAGTGTGGGACCAGTATGGGCTGAATTTGAATACCGTAATAAACTATGGAACTTTCTATCAGCTATATTTTACTGTAACTTCAACAGAAATGTCAGTTCCATTTTTTTGAATTTGCAGTTTATTTAGTTATCGAAGACACATTCTTTAAAACTAGAATAAATCTTTGCTGCTGCTTTATAAACACATACATCTACTGACCTTTGTTATGGGCTCAAGCCCAGGAGCGTTATAAGCCAAGTAACTCCCATGTCCTTAGGAAACCTCCCAGACCAAAACAGCAGGTGTGCCAAACTTAATAATGTCAGATAATTTCATTGCTCAGTGTTTACTTTCTACTTTCTTTTACTTGTTCTTTTTGTTGAGTAAATTTTACTTTGGTTCCAGTTTAAGTTTCAGTATGTGTTTATCAGTGTGGACCCTGGAAATATTTAAACCGCATCATACGTATATAACAAAAAGGGAATAGGATTTTTTTTCAAATTGTCACTTCTATTTCCTAATCAGTTACTTAACGAACGCAGGCAGTCAAAATGTTTGTTTTTACTTTGTTTTTGTTTGCTGTTCAGGCTCAGTTATCCTCTAACTCTGTCTAATTTTTTTTTTAAATTGTCTTTTTATGAATACAGTTTGTTAAAGTGCTCCTTATTTACTGACTTTATAACAGGGTTCTACGTTCTGTAGGTCTTACACATACCCAGATTATTCCCTTACAGCCTGTAATGAATGTTGCATCCAGGCATATCTTCCATATCTTCTACTGATCTCACACCTCACTCTTATGCAGTGGAGGCTAATCCCCCCACCAGTTTGTTGCAATAAAAAAAAGAAAGAAAACATACTACTGTTAGTGGTAAAGATACCAATTAGTCACCATGCCCTGTTTAACACTAGTGATGTCCCGAACGGTTCGCCAAATGGTTTGCGAACGGTTCGCCACAAACGGTTCGCCACGGACTCATCATTGAGTAAACTTTGACCCTGTACCTCACAGTCAGCAGACACATTCCAGCCAATCAGCAGCAGACCCGCCCTCCCAGACCCTCCCACCTCCTGGACAGCATCCATTACATTCATTGTGAAGCTGCATTCTTAGTGAGCTGTCCAGGAGGTGGGAGGGTCTGAGAGGGAGGGTCTGCTGCTGATTCGCTGAACCGTTCGGCGAACTGTTTGGGACATCACTATTTAACACCATAAACCAAAATATACAATTAATTGAGAAACAACCACTTTAAAGAACTATACCTCCATCTATGATGCTATTGTCCAATGACAGCCACAGACAGGATAATAAACAAGGCTGTCTTTTCGAGCATTCAGGATCTGATGACTCAAAGCAAAGCCAATGATCAACATGAGAAATCCTAGCAGAGCAATCTAAGTATGGATGGGGAGCTTTATAGTGAGAAAAGGGAGCATTTTCTCAAAAATGCCCCAAAACTTGAAATAATTAGTTGCTGGGCGTCTCAGCAGTATCTTCAACCATTTTTGGAGAAGGTGGAAACCGAAGAAGTAATTATAACAGACACAACATACTGCTTCTACCACAACCTTATCCTTAGTCCTTACTAGATATATTAACCTATTATTTTTTATTACAACACAAACTGGGGAGAGGGTGGCTGCCACCCCCCTATTTACCAAATGTGTGTAAGAAACAACTGTGAGTCTGTCACTTTAATGATTACAGTGCTGCCCCATTCTTACAGATTGCATTTCATTCACTCCATGAGTTCTTCCCCTCATCCTCAGTTCTTCAATTCCTTAAAGACTAGTTTCTTTCATCAATCATATCAGCTGAACTTGTAATTCCTCTGGCCTGTCTCAAGTCAAACAACCTGGCTCTACCATCAGCCCTAATCCTATCTCACCTTCTTGGATATTGCTGCTATCAAGTTGTTCATTTGGATACCAGTAACTTTATTATTTACGTACTTTCAACTCACTTGCTCTAAGATGCAAGATTGTTTGAGCATGGCCCTCATAATGTCTTGTTCTTGTATGCCAAACTTGTTTTGTTACCATTATGTGTAGGTTTCTTTTACACCTTGAACGTGTTTGCAGAAATTGTTGAGGCATATAGAGACATAACAGTGATGCAAACATTTCTTGTTTTCTGTTACTGTCTACTGTAATTGTTAACACTGCCTCTGATGTATGAGTTTGGGAATTAATTTTAAGAGTTATGCTTCAATTTCCACTGGCAATTCACAGGGTTACTCTAAGCATATCAAATAATTTTTTTTTAAATTAAAATGCCTTTTGGGATTTACTAATAGGACCCCGCTCTTTAATTCATAATAAAAAAAAGGGCAAATTTACTTGAAATCCAGCGTCAGGTGAAGTTCCTGGGGCTGACTTCACGTCTCTGCCTGATATCAGCCCTGCCATTGCATGGTTCAGTCAGAAGCTTCTTATAGAGCAGCCTGTGATTGGACAGTTTCACCAGCTCAGATTGCATATGCAAGGGGAGGGAGGCATGCAGTGGGGAGGAGTAGAGCAGGAGAATTAAAAAGAAAAAAAACAATATTTTAGCACCTGCACGAAGCAGAAGTGAGCGCACGCAGAGTGGGAGGGAGGGAAGGAAGAGCAAGCTTCCCCTTACAGGCACTCTGCCTGCTAGGAAGAAGACCTTTACATATGTTGCTGTGCATCCTAAAGACAGACATAGGATTTGCACAGAATTAACATTAGGTAAAGCAAAACAAAGTTCCGCACTGCCTAAGTCACATGTTCTGGAGGTATTACTAGTCCTCAGCAAAAAAGTGAATATATCTCAGTATGTGGAGCATTTCAAACAGAGATGCTGCACATATGGACTCCTACTACCATGACCACTTTAAATCACTAAAATGGTCATGGTGGTTGGAGTAACTTTTTAAGACCTCCTGTAGTGCTTCAGCTTGCCATAATATGCAAAATGTGCACTCAGGGACTGATGAGAAATGAGGAACTAGCATAGATTAAGCCTTTCTTGTATTTTTACTTCATGAAAGAAAAACAACAGAGAAACACATTTAAAAAAAAAAATTAAAAACTGAAAATGTTGAGAACTATTAAAATAAGCTCTAATGATGTTTTCAGTAGCATCTCTTTAAACAGTAATAATCTTTGGCAGGAACAAAAACTATTTTCCTGAAAATGTGTGTTTGCACCTTTGCATTTTAAACTTAAAATTATATTATATATTAACATAAATAATAAAAATACAGAATGTTCAAGTATAGTTTAAGATGATTTGCCTACTTATCAGTCATTAACTTGTTTATGATGTCTACCAAGTGAGACTAACTATCAACAATAAACTCATGAAGGGAGCCAAAAATAAGGAAAGAAAAATGTTTACAAGTGAGTTATAGGGAAATTGAGGTAGCAAAATATAGGGACAAGGAAGTAACGAGAAAAAAATAAAAGTACAGGATCTATTTTGAGACAGCAAGCATTTATAAAGCTGCGGAAACGAAATAAGTAGTATTCTACACACTCTCCTCATGAACTTTAAGGGTTAAAATGTCAAGGCTTCAAGAAATGTCACAAGTTCATTAAATGGCTGCAAAATTCAACCCAATAAATTAGAGGGTGGATTCAATTGCCAACATGGACTGATTTGTCTATTGCTTTCTCAATTAGCTTTTGCCCTGATAATAGATATTTGGCAATTGAATCCACCCTCTACTTTATTGGGTTGAATTTTGCAGCCATTTAATGAACTTGTGACATTTCTTGAAGCCTTGACATTTTAACCCTTAAAGTTCATGAGGAGAGTGTGTAAAATACTACTTATTTCGTTTCCGCAGCTTTATAAATGCTTGCTGTCTCAAAATAGATCCTGTACTTTTATTTTTTTCTCGTTACTTCCTTGTCCCTATATTTTGCTACCTCAATTTCCCTATAACTCACTTGTAAACATTTTTCTTTCCTTATTTTTGGCTCCCTTCATGAGTTTATTGTTGATAATTAGTCTCACTTGGTAGACATCATAAACGAGTTATTGACTGATAAGTAGGCAAATCATCTTAAACTATACTTGAACATTCTGTATTTTTATTATTTATGTTAATATATAACATAATTTTAAGTTTAAAATGCAAAGGTGAAAACACACATTTTCAGTATTGCCAGTTCAGTATTGCATAATACAGTCTTAGTCACATCACTCTGGGTAGGAAAAATACGAAGTAAAGAACAGCTAACCACACAGCAATATAGACAGGGAAGCAAAACTAGAGATTAAACATGGTGCCAAGAGTGGTTAATCAGTACCCATTCTTCGAGTGGCGACCTCTTTCACACTCTGGACAAGGCCTCAGACTAGAGCCAACTACTGCAGTGTAAGGGGAGGTATTGTTGTCAACTCCTACGGGAGACCTGTAAATTCACTTTGCAGATATCCAAGATCATTGCCTTAGACATTTTATTCCTCAGAGAGGAGTTTGTGGGTATAGTTGGTAGAATTAAGGCAAAAAAGAGAACAGATGAGATAAATAGGTCCATCAAGCCTCACGGGATCAAACAGTTATTAATTTCTAAAAAGTTCATCAGGTTTCTAAAAGATGCTTAGATACTGGAGAGGACAGAATGTGCAAGATTGGGTGAAGAGGTACTCGTCTATGATGCCAGGATTCATTAGGGCACACTAGTTCTTGATTACCAGCGTGGTTTTTGATTAGATAATCTTTGCTTCTGACTCAAAGAGGATTTCAAGATAGCTGCCCCTCATACAACAAGAGTCAGTCAGGACATGCACTACTATTCACTGCTACATGTATGAATTACAAAATAATACACACAGAAACCACAATAAATGTTGTCTTTTATTTCAAATAATAATAACAAAAACAATGGGAGTATTCCTTTAAAACTGGCAATAACAACATAAGATTATTGTGTATGACTCAACCAGACAATATCTCTCAAGAAGATTGAGCAATCTTGACTGTGCTTATCCAGCTTAATATTTTACCACATCTTGTAATTGAATTCATGCCACATAAACAGTTTACTACTGGTAAACATGATTCATATATACCAAAACTCCAGTGTCTACCAGCTCACAGTGAAGTCTGGAATACAGTTTATAAATCAGCAGAACATCCACTGGTGTTAGTGGTATTTACTACCATACCATAAAATAGAACAAAAGAATCATGAAAAAAATTATGGTTTTCGCTGTTATAAACACAGGTTATACTTGCAGATGTATGATACAATTGTAATAGAGATAAACACACTTAGCACTGGCAAATGCTGGTTTCACTAGTGATAGAACAAATGTATACCATGCCACTCATACTTCAGACACAGCCCTTATCTCAGATTCTAATGGCTAATAAGTTTTTTTGTTTGGGCATGTACTTTCTACAAATAAGGGTACAGCCATAGATTCAAATGTAGCACTAACATATGGAAACATAATCCGATTGGAGGAACACGGTCCTTATAAGTCATCTGTTCATAAAATTGAGGAAAAGGTTCATTGATGATATTCTTATCTAAACACATTTGTGATGCAGTTAAATGTTTCATACCCAAACAAATAACTCACTATGCATTGTGATGTATATACAGTTCCAATCCTGGATGTTCTAGTAAGTAGTATAGAGAATAAAAAATCTGAATAATCTATTACTGTATCAAAGTTTTCATACGAACATTTGAAAGAAGGCTTGCCCTATAATCAGATGCTAAGGACACACCGTGTTATATCTCAAGAGACTTAGTTACCAACAGGATTGAAATACATGTGTAAGAAGTTTAGTGAAAGGGGTTACCCACTTGTGCCCCATTTGTTGCTCTCCGTAAGTTTAAAGGGTGCCCCTTGCTCATGGTGCCTAGAGAGATATCAGCTATGCCAGTGGTGTATCCTGGTTTTGTGCTGCCCTAGGCAGGACAAAACTCAGGCGCCCCCCTCCTCCCGCGCCACCCCCACCCAACCCTCCCCCCCGCCCCACCTTCTAAATACACACACACACAGTCAGACACACACAAACACACACACACACAAACACACAGTCAGACACAAACACACACACAGTCAGACACATACACACACACACACACACACACACACACACACACAGTCAGACACATACACAGACACAAACACACACACAGTCACAAACACACACACACAGTCACAAACACACACACACACAGTCCAGACACAAACACACACACACACACACACACAGTCAGACACAGAAACACACACACACAGTCAGACAGACACAGAAACACACACACACACACAGTCAGACACATACACAGACACAAATACAGTCAGACTAGAAACACACACACACACACTTACTCAGTCACAAACACAAACACACACAGTCAGACACAGAAACACACACACAGTCAGACACAGACACAAACACACACACAGTCGGGAACTGACAAAACGCACACACACACACACACACAGTCAGACACAAACACACACACACACACAGTCAGACACATACACAGACACAAACACAGTCAGACACAAACACACACACACACACCTCAGTCACAAACACAAACACAAACACACACAGTCAGACACAAACACACACAGTCAGACACAAACACACACACACAGTCAGACACACACACACACACAGTCAGACACAGACACAAACACACACAGTCAGACACAAACACACACATACACAGTCAGACACATACACACACACATACACAGTCAGACACAAACACACACACACAGTCAGACACATACACAACACACAGTCAGACACAAACACACACACAGTCAGACACAAACACACACACACACATTCAGACACATACACACACACAGTCAGACACAAACACACACACAGTCATACACAATCACTCACATTAACTTTTTTTTTACCCCCCCCCAGCCTCCTTTTTTAGTGCTGGGGGTTCCGGGTGGTAGTGGCTGCGGTCTGGCTGGCGGCATTGGCAGCTGCTGTGTACGGCTGGCGAGGGAGCACTTCACCCTGAGCTGACTGCTCCAGCTCCCTCCAGCTCAGCTCCCTCCCAGCTAGCTCACTCAGCCCTGCCCAGCCCCAGTAGCCACCTGCCAGCCCTGCCCAGCCCGACCGGCATGTCTGTTAGCAGCGAGACTAACAAGGCATTTGCCCTGGGCATTTGGGGGCGGCGTTTTTTGCCGCCCCCTGAAAAATGCTGCCCAAGGCAAATGCCTTGTTTGCCTCGCGGCTAATATGCCCCTGAGCTATGCCTCACTGATGATACCTAGCAAAGCTGAAACGATCGTCTTGGGTTGCTGTGTCTCTCGTGCAGAGAGAACTTGCTGGCATTTCGGACCTGGACTGCCCGTATGGGTGGGACCAGTCTGATATGTTTCAGAGATGTTCTCTCTGTAGTGGCACAAGATGAGCTAAAACCAGCTTGAGAACTGAGCGGGGACCCACCGAAGGGCAGGCTATTTCAGCTGCTGCCTGTTCTCAGTATTCTCCTGTGCTCTCCATGGGGTTACCCACTAGAATTATTTAGAGCACAAAGGAAGAGGACTTGTGAGAAATACAGATGATCCCTCTTGGATCAGGGAGGGTGTAGACGCAATGGAAAATAAATACCAAATGTATTCCCATACATGCCACTGGTCAGGGGCTTCAGAATCATTATTTTCAGGCATTGGAAATTATTTTAGGATGATGCACAGCTGCTGTCTGCACACATAGATAAGGCTCTGCACGGTTCAGCCACATCCGGCTCTGTCACCTATGTATTATTATGCATGAGAACTATGTAACATGTAAAACATTCTGTACATTAGTTAGATCAATAACAAGAGAACTAAGAGAAAAATAATTGAATAATAGCATGCAGTGTATCATCACTCATCTCTCTCCTCCTCCAGTAATTATTTCACAATGGGCTTCTTATATCTTGTACGTCTTATGTTGCTGGCTCAGATTAACAATGGTTTGAGACTGTTTGAGACTGTAATTAAGGATATTATTCAAAGTAGAAATCCGGATGCATATTGAATGTTGAAAACTATAGCAAGCATGTGCTATTTTATAGTTGTTCATCACAATGGTGGGAGAACATCTTGCTGCAGACATAGGAAAAGCTTTCCTTGTTACAGCCATCAGTGCATTTCATAGTTTAGGGTTCCTAAGAGCAGATCCGTCTTTAACACAAGCAAAAGTTGAAGTTGTGAGCCCCTGCACTCAGGGTCCCATAGAATTTCTTTGTGAAACAAGCATTAAAAAGAATCTCCTCATTTTTTCTAATTTGCATGTGGCATCTCATTGCATAATATTCTGCACATGCAGTGATTAGTATGTGGACTTGGTTTGCTATGCATTTTTCTCCATACTCTTTGACTTTAATGATCGCAGAAGAGGGCTATTTCAACACATATTTCGACAGATTTGTGAGCAATATTTGAGAGAAATAGGCCTTTTGTGTACATTGAAAAAGTCTTAGATCATTGCGTTCAGCTCATGAAAAATGAGGGCAAAAACAAAAGTGTTCCGTTTTAATTTTGTTCAGTGTATATAAATTGTCATGTCTTTTATTTTACTGCAATTTAAACTATATTGTTTTTTTCTGTCAATTATATTTTATTAGAGCGTTTTTTCATATATTGTAATAAACAATGAACAATAGTAACAAATGCAATCAAATCTTCCAGGGGATAAATTGTGTGCCAAAGGGAAAGTAGAGGGAAATCAGACACATCAGAAGGGATACGAGAACTGGTCGGTGTAGGGGAGGAAATAAAGAGGAGGCGATAGAGGAGAAGGTAGGAGGTAGAAAAGGAAAGAGGATCTGGGAAGGGATGGAGGACTGGGAACAAAACTTAGTGTGAAACAGAAAGGAAGCTTAGAAGCCAAATGGAGTTACTTGGTCCAGGATTATTTTGTCAACCAATAAACACAATGTGCATAAAACTGAAGGTAGACAACTAAAGCCTGCAAGAATAAATTGATGCTCCACTGCAGCTAATATTCTGTGACCAATGGAACTCTGCATTATTTAGATTGTAAGGCAATGAATTATCTTGCTCAGTACTTTGAATAAAGTACTGTATTATACCAAATACATGGCAAATAATAATAATCAAATGACATTGTTCATATTGTTATGGGATAATGTTTTACTCGATACAGAATGCTGTCATGCAATATATGCATTGTATACAGCAAGTTACAAGTAATAAATAAAACCAAGGTCATTTTTAGAATGCAAGCCTTTATTTTGCATTATGTTGTATGACTGTACAGTGTGGGGAAAATGCTGGAATTAAATGTATCACCGGTTTTAAATTTCCTGAACCCATTAGAAAGGCTATCATATTTACATTGAAACTGAGCTTATTGTGCTTGAATATGGTGGCTTTAATAAAACAATATTACCAGTAAAAATAAGACTTGTTTCCTTAGAAAGCTATCAGTGGTACTTTAAACCTTTTAGAGTCGTTTGATACCTTAGAATTTCCCACTTTACTTTACTTAAAAATAGAATTTTCTGTTTTTAGAAGGGCTGGGGAATGGGGAAGTCAAAATATTACTGTAAATTACTGTGAATTCCTACCAGACAACAGATACTTGCACTCAGGGCCAGATTAACATAGGGGCTGATGGAGCTGCAGCTCCAGGCCCATGGAATAGGCCCATTTAAAAAAAAATTATATATATATTTTTTTTACACACTACTCTTAGGTTTGCCACCTGACTGGTACCGGTATTTTACTGTCACAGCCGATATTTGAGGCTGCCTGGCTGTGCCGGTATTGCAGTAATAATGGCAATACAAATGCAGGTATTTTTTTTTTTTTTTTAATTCTTTATTTTAATTGCGCATATAATGTTACAGAACATAGGTGTTGTTTGCCACCCTTGTATAACAGTTAACAATTCTAAGTATGCAGGCAACAGAGTCTGCGCATTTTTACATTTTTCACAGTTGTACAACAAAGTAGGGTAACAGTAATTAGTTCGAGGAAATTTTGTCACAAGGCGGACAATATAGTTTGGTCTATTGATTTCAATATAACTTTGAGCGTGATATAGTTTGCAGAGTATAGTCGTGAGGGAACAACGGGGGAAGGGTAGGAGCGGTGCCGGTATTAGGGTGGTCGTGTGTAGGTGGTGATTTAGACGATAATTAGGTGGCTCTATTGCCTAGATAAGTCAACCAAGGTTGCCATGTTAAGGTGTAGGTGGTGTATTTGTTCGAGTATGATGCGTCTAGTTCTTCCATGGTCCTTATGAATTCAACCTTTTGTATCCACTCCCGTACTGACGGGGCCCTGGTGCTCTTCCATTTCAACGGAATCAACATATTTGCTGCTGTCAGCAAATGGTTGACTAGTTTGCGTTGGAGGTTCGGTATGTGCGTAGTGTGTACGAGGAAGAGGAAAGTTTCAGGTGATTGTGGCAGTTGATGGCCTGTGATAGCTTTGATTAGCCCTCCCAACCCCCGCCAATAAGTTTGGATGGCCGGACATAGCCACCAAATATGAGCTGTAGTTCCTTTGGGTTGCCCGCACCTCCAACATGTATCTGGCGCTGTTGGAAAGATAGCATGTACCTTAGCGGGTGAGTAGTGCCATCTGGAGATTCTTTTGTATGTGCTTTCCCTCACTGCGGTGCTAATGGACGTGGTATGGGCGTATATGAATATTTTGTGCCATGTTCCCACTGGAATGGTGATCCCCAGTTCAGTCTCCCATGCCGCTGTGAATGGTGGAGGAGGGGTGAGATTGATGGTGTTAAGGAGTCTGTAAAATATAGATAGGTGCTTGATTTGTAGGCTGTGGGTAGTACAGTAAGTTTCATATTTGGTGTGTGCTCTTGTTCCTCGAAGAAGGTGTGGTTCCCCCTTCAAGAAGTGTGACAGCTGGGCATATTGGAAATATTGCTGGGAAGTTGGGTGGTCTGTGGATGTTAAGATAGATAGCGGAGCTATCCCCGTTGGTGTGATGACCGTGTTAACCATCGGGTATCTTGTTTTTTGAGTCGGTGGGAACTGATGGAAGAACTGGGGGCGTAAGCCTGGTAGAAAGTTGGGGTTGTGTGCTAGAGGGTAGAAGGGTGAGGGATGTGGTGAAATTTCATTTTGGAGTCTAATGCGTGACCATATACGTAGTGTGGGTATGATCGTTGGGTGATGTGCGTGTTGCGGCAGGAGGAGTGAACGACCCTCGTCATGCCATGGGATCGTATATAGAGGGGATTGGAACATGGAGCTCTCTATGTGCACCCATTGTTTGAGTGGGTGTATTGCATTCCATTCGTATATCCTAGTCAGTATGACCGCCTGATAGTAGCGTTCAATGTGGGGTAGTCCTAACCCTCCTTGTTCTCTATGTCTGGTCAGAACCGAGTATGCTATCCTCGGGCGTTTGTTCGCCCAAATGAAGGTCGTGAAGATTTGTTTGAGTTTAGTAAAGAAGGAGGGGGGGATTGTGATGGGGAGTGTTTGTAGGAGATACAGTACTTTAGGTAGCGTGTTCATCTTCAATATGTTGATCCTACATAACCAGCTGAAAACCGGTCTCTGCCAATCCCCTATATCTTTCGATATTGCCGCTAGTAATGGTGTAAAATTTAGGCTATATGTGTGTTTTAAGTGTCTAGGTAGGTGGACCCCTAAATAGGTGATGGACTTCTCGGCCCATGTGAAGTGATATATGGCTTTAAGTTCATTTTGTGTGCGCCTGTCCAATCGGAGGAGTAAAATTTCGCTCTTTGTGTAGTTGACCTTAAAGTTGGATAGTTCTGCATATGCCTCCAGTTCTGCAATCAGAGGTGGTAGGGAAGTGAGTGGGTCCATGATGGAGAATAGTAGATCATCTGCGAATGCAGAGACCTTAAACTCCTGTGGGTGGACAGTGAATCCGTGAATGTCGTCGTTGTCCCTTATTCCTTGCAAGAAGGGTTCTAAAGAGAGGATAAAGAGTAAGGGGGAGAGAGGGCACCCCTGTCTCGTGCCGTTGCTAATGTGTACTGGGCTTGATAGTTGGCCGTTTATTCTCAATTTCGCCGTCGGGGTAGAGTATATGGCTCCCATCCATTTCATCCAATTTGGGCCAAAGCCTAAGGCTTGGAGTGTGGCTGTCAGCATTTTCCAGTCTACTCTATCAAATGCCTTTTCTGCGTCTATGGACAGAAGTAGGCTCTGTCTTTGAGTGGCATGGGAGAGGTGTATGAGATTTAATAATTTAGTTGTATTATGTTTGGCCTCACGCTTAGGGACGAAGCCAGATTGGTCTTGGTGTATTAAGGTGTGTAGGATCGGTTGAAGTCGCATGGCTAGAATTTTTGTGCATATCTTTAGGTCTACATTGATGAGCGATATTGGGCGGTAACTGCCGCATTCAGTGGGGTCTTTACCCGGTTTCGGTAATAGTGTGATGTGTGCTTCTAGTGCCGATGCTGGGAGTGGGGACGGATCTGTGAGAGCGTTAAATGCCCTCAGGTATGGTTCCGTCAGAAGTGTGGCGAAGTGTTTGTAGTATTTGGCCGTGAGGCCATCAGGACCTGGGCTTTTGCCCAACGGTGTTGATTTGATCGCACATTTTAATTCGTCCTGGGTAATAGGCATGTCTATGGAGCGGGCTACGTCTGCAGGGATTGTGTTTTTGAGCCTAGTGGAAAGAAACCTTTCTATTTCGGTTGTGGATGGGGGTGAGTTTCTGAGGTTATACAGTTTGGTGTAAAATTGTTGAAAGGCTTCCATGATATCTGGGAGGGTGTGGGATATTGTGCCCGTCTGTGTCTTAATTTTGGAAATGTATGCGTTTTGTCTGGACTGTCGTAGGGCATTGGCAAGCAGTTTGCCGCATTTGCCTCCCTTCGCGTAGTAGGAGTGTTTAGTGTTTAATAGTTTTTTCTTGGCTTGGTGTTGCAGTAATTGTGTCAGTTCTGCGCGTTTGGTTATGAGAGTATTATACGTCGGGAGGGAGCTGTCCCTGGTGTGAGAATGCTCCAGGGTCCTAATTTCCCGTGTGAGTGCATCGATTCTTTGTGTCCTCTGTTTTTTAAGGGTAGCCATAATTGCCAGAAATTCTCCCCGTATGACACACTTGTGTGCCTCCCATGTTATGATGGGGGAAATGGATGGTAGTGTATTTTCTTGGAAGTAATTAGCGAGAGTGGTTTCCACTCGCGATGTAATGGCGGGGTCATTGAGTAAGAAATCATTAAGTTTCCAATGAAAAGATGTTAGCGGGAGTGTAGGGATTTGTACGGCAAGAGACAGGGGCGCGTGGTCCGACCAAGTGATCGGGACATAGGTGCAGGAGGTGGCCAGATGCAGGTAGTCCTGGGGAAGAAATAGCATGTCCAATCTAGAGTATGTGCCCGAAGCTGTAGAGTAGAAGGAGTAGTCTCTAGTTTGAGGGTGCATGGTTCTCCAGCAGTCATGTAGCCTAGCCTGATCGAGAAGGTGTGATACCTGTTTCCTTGTAGTGGTCTGGTAATGTGTGGATTGGGAAGTCGTGTCGAGGGCAGAGTCTAGGGACATGTTTAGGTCACCACCCAAGATTAGTATGCCTTCCATGAATGATTCAATTATGCGGAGGTGCTTCTTAAGAGCCTTACCCTGGTGTCTATTGGTGTTAGCAAAGGTAAGCATGGTTTGACCTATCTGGCCTTTCACCAGGATCAGCCTGCCCCCGTCGTCCGTTTTGTGGTCTTTGTATGTAAAGGGGGTGTGTGCGGAAAATAGTATGGCCACCCCCCTGGCCTTGGTATCACTGTAGTTGCTGAAAAAACCTGTGGGGTATGCCCTGTTTTTGAAAGTAGGGGCTATGCCTTTTTTAAAATGGGTCTCCTGTATAAAGACCACATCTGCTCTGAGTTTATGCATTTCCGTGAGAGTCATGGATCGCTTCTCAGGGGTATTGAGACCTTTAACATTGAGGGTGACTATCTGTAGAGTGGCTACCGGGTCTGAGTGTGTGTGTGGCCCTTGCGGAGGGTCTGTCTTGTTCATTATGGGGTGAAAGGGACAGGGAGGTTGGGTCGGTTGTAAAGTTGAGGGAGTAACAAGGGAGAAGGGAAAAAAAAAAATATATAAATACAGTAAACAACTTATATACAAACAGATATTCAATAAGTAAATTGAATTTATAATTATCCCCCTAGGTTGCGGGAAGGCGCAGGTTTAACCAGTCGCCTGTCGGCAGCCTGAGGGGAGAACCTCTGGTGTCGGACCCAAAGTGGGATTTTGCCACTTGGGTGCGTCTGTGACACCGTGGTGTAGGTCGTGCCGACCTAGTACGATAAGAGTTATCAAGTATGCATATGATAGTAATTAAACAGTGGGGGAGAAAGGCAGGGGTGGTCTTAGGTAGTTGACGTTAACCAAAAGCTCCCGTGGTGGAGCAGAAGAAGAATTGGTTTATAGTCAATCACCGCCAGAGCACCAATCCGCTAACATAATTTACAACACATCAAACATTCAGGCATTCGTAGCAATAATAGGATTTAAACATATTAAACTGTGCCAATGTCTATGAGCTTTTTTTTTTTTATAATTTTAGTTGACGGTTGTTCTTAACCTGTGTAGTGGGCCAATAGGTGGGATTCCTTTACCGTGCCACGGCTGTCCTCTGCCAACCTGGTCACTTGGTCTGCAAGGTGGGGGGTTGATTAGTGCTAGAGAAACCTTGTTGTCTGGCCTGCAACCATGTCGTCATTGGAGGTGGTTGTCACTGCGAGCCGTTATATGGGGTTACTTGGCGTGGTGTTATGTACCAAGGGTTTGTTAGCGGGAGATATTAGGCTGGATAAGTCTAATAGGGGATAGTAAGTGAGGAGTTGTTGCTTCCTGCTGTAGTGAGCTCATTATTGCGATATACAAGCAGCGGACAGTTAATACAGTCACCTGAATCACAGAAGGTGTGCAGGAGGCTGGGAGGAAGCGTGGTCCTCTACAGCCTAGCAGCGTAATGAGAATGTCTGTTTCGGCAGGTTTGTGTGGTCGTCTGAGGCAGGTTTCGGCTAGTAGTTGGTGTCTTTGAGGTTTCAAGAGAAATGTAGGTTGCGGGTCCCAGGACCTGGGCCGACAGCAGTTCATGCCGTGTGCTCCGGGCTAGAATCCATTCACTGTTGCATCGGGTCTCGGTTGTCCATTCTCTTTTTCTTGGGTGTTTGTTGCCATCTGGGTCTCTGTGGCAGTTGAGGGAGTAGTGGCGTTTGCAGTGGTCCATACCAGTCTTGGATGTGCGGATCTGTTAGATTGAGAGTTTGGATAAAGAGTGGAATGTCTGCATGGGAGTGGATGGTGTGCTGGGCGCCTTTGTGTGTGACGCTCAGCGCAAGTGGATATCCCCACCTATATCTTATATTTCTAGCTCTCAGTTGATCCGTAATGGGTCGCAAAATCCTTCTCGCTTGTAGTGTCAGCCAGGAGAGATCTGGATAGATTGTGATTGGAGCTTCGTGGAACAGGAGGGGTTGTGAGTTTTGTTTCAGCGTGTTTAGTATGTCTTCTCTGCAGGTGTGGTAGTGGAGTCTGCAGATGACGTCTCTGGGTTTGTCTGTCGCTACACCTCTGTGTTTCAACGCCCTGTGTGCTCTGTCTAGGAGAATATGGCTGTCTCCTGGTTTTCCCAATAAAGGTTGAAGAGTTCATTTGGGGGTGGAAAAATCTCTTCCTGCACACATTCTGGGAGACCCCGAATCCGCAAGTTGTTGCGGCGCCCCCTATTGTCCAGATCATCTATAGACCTATGGAGCGTGGATAGGTAAGCATTTTGGTGTTCTACCGTTGCCTGTAGGGAGCTTAATTGTGTTTGTATGGCGTCCCTATCATCCTCTAGAATGACCACCCGGTCAGAGACCTGGTGGATTTCTGAACTAAAGGAGTCCATCTTGGCCTGGACTGAGGCTTCCAGCCGGGTCAGCATACCTGCAATGTCCTGCTTGGAGGGTAAGTTCCTCAGGATCTCCTTTAGGTCTCCTTCTGTTGGGGGGCCCGAGTTGTACGAG